TTAATCATGATCTAAGATTTTTCATATGCATGTAACTGCATGAAATACAATTTCAGACCAGAATTGTCAGTTCTAGCTCAAGTTTTAAAAACCGAAAGAACTGCGGATGCTGTAAATCAGGAGCAAAAACAGAAATTGCTGGAAAAGCCCAGCAGGTCTGGCAGCATCTGTGAAGAAAAAAGTCAGAGTTAATGTTTCGGGTCCAGTGACCCTTCCGCAGAACTCAGTCACCGGACCCGAAACATTAACTCTGATATTTTCACCACAGATGCTGCCAGACCTGCTGAGCTTTTCCCGCAACTTTTGCTTTTGATCTTAGCCCAAGCTTTGCTAGTTTGGGAAATGTAATGATGCACATGAGTATTAAGGTACACTTCTGAAGTGCTCAGTGCTTGTGAAAGTGTAGGACGCTGTGCTGGATCTTAACTGGAAGTGCTTGAGACTGACACTATGAAATCTCTTCAGCAAGAACTCAAATCCACCTTAACATGGGAATAGCTGGCATCCTGTGGTCTCACTTTAAATGAGTACAATTGGTACCTTGTTGCTGGTTCAACATTGTATCAACAGCGCTGGAGGAATAACTATCCAGATAAAGCATTATCTTCTGGACGTTTTGGAGAACACAGCTTCAACTCTCAATGATTTGATTTGTTTTGATTTATTGTAGTCACGTATTCCTAAGTATAGTGAAAAGCTTTGTTTTGCAAGTAGTTTATAGCAAACAAGGACATACAAATCATAGGGTGCTTACACGGAATGAGGCATACAGGTTACAGTGCACATGAGTTGCACAAAGCTAGATCAACATTATTTGAAGTTAGAGAATCCATTCAGTCATTTAATAACGGCAGGGAAGAAGCTGTTCTTGAACTTGTTGGTGCGTTTGTTCAAGCTTCTGTATCTTCTTGACAGGAGAGATTGAAGGAGAGCATTATTAGGGTGGGAGGAGTCTTTGATGATGTTCACAGCCTTTCCAATGCAACGATAATTGTAAATTGAGTCCAATAGAAAATTCTTAATACCGTTCCTAAATGTTTATTAACAAATATTCAAGGGTCAAAAGGAGGAGAGGGAATACATAGAATAACTGTTAGTAGAGAAAAAATACCAGGGAAACTAATGGGCTAAAGACCGATAAGTCGAACTTGATGGGATACATCCTAGGATATTAAAAGAAGTAAGTATAGAGATAAAGGATGCACGAGTAGTAATCTTTCAGGACTCCTTAAATTTTGGGAATGTCCCAGAGGACTGGAAAACTGCCAAAGCAACACCTTTGTTTAAAAAAGGAAGGAGACAAAAAAACGTCAGGATAGGCCAGAGATCGTAGGAACTGCCGATGCTGGAGTCTGAGATAACAAGGTGTAGAGCTGGATGAACACAGCAGGCCAAGCAGCATCAGAGGAGCAGGAAAGCTGACGTTTTGGGTCTGGACCCTTCTTCAGAAATGGGGGAGGGGAAGGGGTCTCAAATAAACAGACAGAGAGGGAGGCGATGATAGAAGGTGGATAGAGGAGCAGATAGGTGGAGAGAAGACGGACAGGTCAAGGAGGCGGGGATGACGCCAGTAAAGGTGAGTGTAGGTAGGGAGTTGGGATAGGGTTTGGTCAGTGAGGAGGGAGAGGCGGGTAGGGCGAAAAAAACGGACAGTTCAAGGAGGCGGGGATGAGCTGGGCTGGTTTTGGGATGCGGTAGGGGGAGGGGAGAAATTGAAGCTTGTGAAGTCCACATTGATACCATTGCGCTGCAGGGTTCCCAAGCGGAATATGAGGTGCTGTTCCTGCAGCCTTTGGGTGGCATCGTTGTGGCACTGGAGGAGGCCCAGGATAGACATGTCGTCCAAGGAATGGGAGGGGGAGTTGAAGTGGTTCGCAACTGGAAGGTGTTGTCGTTTGTCACGAACCGAGCGCAGGTGTTCCACAAAACGGTCTCCAAGCCTCCGCTTAGTTTCCCTGAAGTAGAGGAGGCCACATTGGGAACAGCAGATGCAATATACCACATTAGTAGGTGTGCAGGTGACCATCTGTTTAATGTGGAAGGTCTTCTTGGGGCCTGGGATGGAGGTGAGGGGGTAGGTGTAGGGGCAGGTGTAGCACTTCCTGCGGTTGCAGGGAAAAGTGCCGGGTGTGGTGGGGCTAATGGGGAGCGGACAAGGGAGTCACAGAGAGAGCGGTCCTTCACGTATCACCCCATCAATCTCCGGATTCAACACATCATTCTCCGCCACCTGCAGACTGACCCCACATTGAGGTTGGTTGGCTCACCGAGCTGGTATCTTGTTTCGCAGACGTTTCGTTACCGTGCTGGGTAACATCCTCAGTGCAGCCTCCAATGAAGCGTCGGTGTGTTTTCCCGCCTGGTTTTTAAACTCTGGGGTCCGTTGAGATAGATTACCTCACTTCCAGTTTTCCTTCGTAGTGGAATGTATATGGGGTCGAGTTCAATATGTTTATTAATAGCATGCTTCGTGGAGTGCCAGGCCTCTAGGAATTCTCGTGCCTGTCTCTGCTTACCTTGTCCCAGGCTTTTGGTGTTGTCCCAGTCGAAATGGTCGTTCTCCTTGTCCATGTGGATTGAGATGAGTGAGTATTGGTCGTGTCTTTTTGTGCCACTTGGTGTTCATGTACTCTTGTTGTTAGTTTCCTTCCTGTTTGTCTGATGTAGTGTTTCTCACAGTCTCTGCAGGGGATCTTGTAGATGACATTGGTCCTGTCCATGGCAGGGAGAGGGTCTTTAGTTTGGCTGAGCTGTTGTCGTAGGGTTGACATGGGCTTGTGTGCCACTCTGATGCCCAGCGGTGGTAGGAGTCTTGTGATGAGTTCCGATGTGTTTCTGATATAGGGTAGTGTGATGAGTGTGTCACGGCGTGTAGTATCTTCCTGATGCTGTTCGTGTAGGCATCTTCTGACCCAGTTTTTTGGATATCCATTATCCTTGAAAACCTGGAAGAGGTATTCTTCTTCCTCTTGGCATAGTTCTATGTTGCTGCAGTGTGATGTTGCCCTTTTAAATAGTGTTCGCACGCAGCTTCATTTGTGTGTGTTGGGATGGTTATTGTTGAAGTTCAGTACCTGGTCCGTGTGTGTGACTTTTCTGTGTACTTTCGTTTGGAGTTCCCCATTTGTCTTGCGCTCTACCATGACATCCAGGAATGGGAGCTTTTGTTCTTCTCCTCCTCTCTGGTGAATTTTATTCTGGTGAGGGTGTTGCTTATAAGTTTGTGTGTCTCCTCTAATTTGGTCCGTTTAATGATGACAAAGGTGTCGTCTACGTAGCGTATCCATAGTTTTGGTTGGATATACCAAGGATATATTTCCCTCCCCACCCTTATCTGCCTTCTGGAGGGACCGGTCCAAAACGTCAGACCTGAAACATCAGCTTTCCTGCTCCTCTGATGCTGCTTGGCCTGCTGTGTTCATCCAGCTCTGCACCTTGTTATCTCAGATTCTCCAGCATCGGCAGTTCCTACTATCTCTTCCTGTCTGATGAGTTGGGATGTTATACTGTTGGTCTTCATGTAGGATGGTCAGCTACGTATCTTTTGTATTGTGCAGTCCTAATCTTTTCCTATTTCCTAATTATTGACCTCATATCGTAACCCCCTTTGCACTCTACAGAACAAAGAGCTGATGTTAAAAATATAACAGCGAACTGCCAAACATTGTGCCTGTCTGAGGGGTAACAGCAGTCTGTACCGCATTGACCAGCTTACAGTTCAGAACCAACAGCAACTTTTGTTAGTTATTTCCTCAGCCGGAGTAAGGGTTTAATTAATCTGCTGCTGAGATGTTGTAAGTTCAGTTTGTTTGTAACAGACAGGTGTCATTAATAAAAACACTTTCAAAATATATTATCACCCAGCTAGTCAGCTGTAGTTCAGAAATATCAATTTTCAGCTACCAGCTGTGTTCTAGTGACATTTATTTCAATGACAACATGACCCCATCCCCTTCCTTGAGATGGGTCTATTTACAGAATTTCTCTCACACTGTTAGCATCAAATGTATAGGCAACCAGAAGTGTTCAGAGCATTTCCTTAGGCTTGTTTTTACATGATTTGAGGAGCTTGGGGGAGGAAGGGTGGTGATTACAAGTTTCTATCATTTCTTGCCCATTAAGCTGTGATATTGGACTGCTCTGTATTCAAGTATCTCCCATTAACAGGTCAAATGGCTCTGCCTCCAATTCATCTGCTTGTCACCTGGAAAAGTCTATAAATCCAGCTAACCAGGCTTCACAACCTCTGCGAGGTTGTGTTTATTCTATGAGAGTCCCAGTGTGTTTTGTGCTGTTCCCATTCAGCTTTTGGAACTGATACCTCTTTTTCCTGTTCTCAGTTGGCATTAACAAACCACTCTAAATTCAATAAATGTTGTTTGTGATTCAACCTCACGCAAAGGTGAAGCAAATAGCTCACATCTGGTGAGGGAAAACCAACAGCATATCCTGCAGAGGATGAGAAAATAGTTTTATTGCATCTTTCACTGCCCATTTCCCTGTCATGGCCTTACTTGAAATGCTGATGCTCAGTAATTTGCAGAAATAGAGGGGCATTTGTGCTGATACATGCACACACATGTACAAAGATGCAAACATAGGGAAGGATGTATATTTTATTGCAGACCCCAATGCTGCAACTGTGTCCTGGCTCTGTGCTTGTTTTCTGTAGATGACATAGCATTTTGCAGGGACAGTGTTTATCATCTGTTTGTTTATCGCGTCAGTGTTTGTTTATAGGGAAATGGGGTTAATTGTTTGTGTTTGTTTATAGGGGCCACGGTATGTTATAGGGACGGGGTTTATTGTCTGTTTGTTTATAGGGGACAGGGTATGTTATATAGGGACGGGGTTTACTGTCTGTTTGTTTATAGGGGACAGGGTATGTTGTAGGGACGGGGTTTATTGTCTGTATTTGTTTATAGGGGACACGGTGTGTT